TAATTGAACGCCATGATCAACTTTCATACGCAGCGATTTTGTATTTAAGTTTTTATAAAAAAAAAACATGTAGAGTTCATTCTAATAATAATTTTATCATAAAACCCATTTAGACAATTCGTATGAAAACGCGTTCATGTCATAATATAATGTACAAATAAAAAATATTTAAAAAAAAACAACACTCACATTAGCATTTCTAGCAGCAATGTTAGTAGCATTGTTAGAATCAACGCCCGGAGCTTTACCACCACTACCACTGCTCAGTTCGCACGTAGCCGAACTATCAGGCGAAATCTGGGCCCTCAAATTCTCATCAATAGCATTAGACATATCTTGAACCAAGTCTTCTAATCTATTAATATCCCTCATTCCAAAGGAACTAGAAGAGTGCAAAATCTCATCGATGATTCCTGTATCTTCATCAAAACCTTCCAAAATTTCATCAAAAGATCTTGAGCATGCCTCTTGGGATGAAGACAAATCTTTTCTTCGTCTGTTTTAAGCACATATTCATCTGAATATTCTAGTGATTTGTCTAAAATATCATCCTGGATTTGTGATTCTGTAAGACTTCCTTCGTGTGATTCAGTTGTCAAACGTTCAGCTAAGAATTCGTTTTCATTTAAGACTACTGCTCAGAGTTTCCAACTTGTTTTTCTTGAACAGCTTCTTCTACAGTCATCCAATTAGTAGAACTATCACCCTACTTCTTCTTTACTATCTACAGTTGTGATAGTTTGTTCTAAGGAAAGGGTGGATGTAGCTGGGCGTTCCTCGAAATCTTCCATCAAAAATGCTGGTCGTCCACGGTTAACCAACGATTTTAAATCTTCTTCAGGGCTATCTATGACAATCCTTGGGGAAGGCATTGGGGGTGTCATTTCTTTCTGACCTGTTCCAAACTCATCATCTGTTGGTGTAGTGTAGCTCCTGCAGAACTGATAGTTCTTGAAAATATTTCTGAAAGTACAGCATCGTCTGTATCCGATTCGAAAAACTTCTTGGTCCTAAAATTTCTGACCACGTCTGGTGTTAAATCTAAACGTATTTGAGTAGCATCCGGTTTGCTTATATTTCTTGTATCTGTTAAGAGGTCTATGTCATTTGTTTGGTCCCGTGGTGCAACCTCTTCTATGGGGCTACTTGAGTCATCTTTAGGTTGCATAACTACTGTAGATTGCAATACTTCTTCATTTGAGTTTTCATTGTTTCGTATTCGGCTTCACTGCCTTCGTCCTGACTTAACAAATCTGTCAAGGAGACCCTGCCATCTAAGTCTTCGTTTGAAGCACAGAGCAATGTTTCGAATTTGTCACTTGCTTGATCCGAAGGCGACTCGACTAGGGCATCAAAATCTTTATTTCTGGCGCACACAACTCGTCTGGACTACTCAAACAATCAGCGACTGGTGATCTAACTAAATCCTGGTAGTTAAATTGTTTCTTTCTCTTTAATCCTCTTAACCGCATCTCATTCTCGATTGCTGCTTCTAGAGACATGGTGACGTCGTCTGGTATGACATAGAACGGCGGTGAAGATGGAGGTGTGGCGTCACCGTTAGTGGTTGCTGCTGTTGCGGATGCTGTTATTGCGTCACACTGAAGAGGGTGTTAATGTTTATGTTAGGAGGAAAGTAACACCAAAATCACATTAGGAAAAACTGAATGATGCAAAATTTATAGCAAAATTTTTGTCACAAATTGGCAGAAATAAAGAGTAAAAACACCCAGAACTAAAATAAAAATATATAAAGCCTCAAAGACAATTATATTTCTAAAAACAAGTTCAGGCATCAAATAATATTATATAAAACAAATATAATTAGAAATTACATAAAAATAAAGGAAAATAAAATATTAACAAAGCAAGTACCACAATTAATTAGCGTAGGCAAATTAATAAAATCTTACATATTATATTCTGCATCATTCGTTATTCGTCAATTTTAAATTCATTAAAATCATTTAGTTTTTAATTGTAAAAAGTTGGTTAAAAGTTACTTACTTTTTTCGTTTTGGCAGCAGACATTTTGTGCTTTTGGGCGTCTCTGCGGCGTCGACTAGTGACGTCAGCAGTTGCGCTAGAAGTGGAATTTGTTTGGTAATCTGTAACAAAGTTAATGAAATCATCAGTAAAAGATAAAGTCAATTATTATCAAGATAATCAATATATTGTAAGATTTCTAATAGAAATGAAACAAACGGCATCTTTCTAAACTTAATTTTCAGAGTTCTCGTAAGAATATTACGCATGGACATTTTATTGTAATTAATTTTTTTTAGATATATTTTAGTAACTCAGCATCTGAAATTAATATGTTCCTAATAACATCCGTTACAATTTCACCCTATTGCCAATTTCATCAATAAGAAACGTCTTATTTTTTGAAAAGTTAAAAAAAAAAACTTTTAATCTATGGGTCCAACAGTTCTATTACTTCCACCTGTATGATTCATGTAATCGCAAAAAAGTAAAAAAAATCCTTGGTATAAGCAGAATCTAAAAAAATGTTACATAAAGAACCAATATTCTTTTCGATCAGACAAAGCTGTAATACATCCAGTATTTTAATTTCGCTTACATTTACTATAACTAAAATATTTACTGAAGTATTAAAATTGATGATTCTCATTCATCAATTTGATTTATTATTTTACGTGAGCACAATATACCAAAATCATTAGAATTCCTTCGGACTAATTTTACAATAATATACGGTGAAATTAATTCACAAATGCATTACAACAATTAATTAATATCAGTAAAATCTTATCTAATAGTTTTCTTGATTAATACGTAATTAAAATCGTAGCTTTCTCGTGAAGCAGATTGCAATTAATAGGTCCAAAATTGCGTCATCAAATATAATTAATGAACTTGGGTAAAACAATATGCATATATAATACAATATTTATTAGACTTCTAATATTTTAGATAAAAAATTCGATAATCAAAATACCTATTTCTTTCAGAATTGTAAAGAAAACATGTTCAAGTATATTGAGTGTTCTTCGAATTTCATTTGGAGATATTTTTGATATTAGATTATTTTTGTTGACTTGTTCCTAGAAACATCGTTTCCTTCTACAGGTAAATAAAATATGTTGGATCACTAATCTCAATTTCGCAAATGGTCTTGAAATTACAATATTTATAAATTTATATCATAATAATATTTAAAAAAAAAGAATGATTCAACAAAACAGAACAAGGTAGGGCACAAGGGCCCATCAAGGGCCCAGTTTGACTTTAAGCAATTATATTGTGAAAACCAAATCAATTACATCACAACAAGTACCACATATCAAACAACTATCTGACTACGTTTAGTAAAATTCCCAACTAATTCATCATTGCATAAAAATGTTTTTTTTGCTTTTTTAACTTCCCGTAGAGTAAAATCGAAAATAAAAATTCTTGCATACATTCACGTTTTGAAAGTTTCTGAACATTTTGGCATACCTTAGAAAAAATGGATGTATGTATGTGTGTATGTATATTTGGATGCAATTTTGCGTCTACGATTTAGAGCGCACGAATCAACCGATTTGAATGATTCGAAAAACATTCGATTCCTATTGATGAGAAGACGTGCTGATTAGTTTTTGGTAGAGACAGCTTCAGCCGTTTCGAAGATACGGGGCAAAAAGTGCCAAAAACGGTAATTCAGTTTTTAAGAGAATGGAGTACCTGATTTGAATGATTCAAAAACCATTTTACTTGTATTGTCGAAATGAAGAAATTATTACGGTTTCGGAGATACAGAAGAAAATGTAGAAAAACTGATATTTGGCGGTCTAAAATGATTATTAGACATATGCACATCGATTTATTAGATATTTTATAGATAATATATTAGGGATCGTTCAAGTATTACGTAAGCAGATTTAGTGCAATTATTTACATTCCTATCCCCCTTTGTCCGCAAAAGTAAGCAAAGCTGTCACCAAAATGCACCCAAAATAAGCAAATCAATAACTCCCCCGCCCCCCTATGGTGCTTACGTAATACTTGAACGGCTCGTTATATATAAGAACCAATTTTGTTAAAAAAATTTTTGGGTTCCCTACTAAGATTTTTAATTTTTAAACTTCATTTATACGGTTCAAACAAATTTCAAAATCTTCAGAAAAAAAAATTGTTTCAACATTTTCAAAAATGTACAAAGTTTTATACTTTAAATATAAATTTTAAATTTACAATTCAGTTTAAAAATGTATATATTTCATATGCGTTATTCCTCTCAGATTGAATATCCTCAGATGGGTTTAATCGCTTCTCTTTAATGTAAACATTTTCAAGTGTTTTGAGCGATAAGATCGTTACTGTATATTATATGAACGAATAAATAGATATATAGCAATTATAATTATCTCTTCGAAATTATTTAAAACAATTGTAATTAATCATTGATCAATATTTATTGATGATTATTTTTTTTGCTTGAAAATTTAATTCTGGTACGGAAAGTCCCAGCAATTTGCCTTGAGGCACGATGCTATGCACCACTAGTTTTTTTGAGATAATGAATAGTGGACCTTCTTACCCGCAGGCCTTTAAGCCCGCTCTGCTCTATATCAATTGCCCCTTTATTACCACCATTTATCCTATTTTCTCCAGAAGTTACATAACGAAACAAAACATAATTAAACTCGAGAGCACCAGTATCATGGTAGTATCAATTATCCAAAGAGTGAAAAGTATGACAGTGTTGGCATCCCACAAACCGACTGCCTAGTGTCTGAGTCTGGATCTCATCACATAGTCGTTAAGTTAAATGAATCGCGTCTAAATCTGAATGGCCATTATGAATCTTGGCTACGCTCTTTAAAACTGTATTATATATGATCTACATTCAACAACATTACGTGAATGGTGCCAAAGATTAGATGCACTTCCGATGAAATATGATCTTGAAGGTATGCGTCTTTTGATTTATGCTAAAAGTTTATTGGTTGTTTTATTTAAGGCAATTTTAAACTGGACACCATGTTACAAATAGTATTAATTTTATCAGATACCATAAATATATAGGGTAGGGCGGGGCACAGAGGTCCAACTTGACTTTGAACAATTATATTGTGAAAGCCAAACCAATTTCATCACAACAAATAACACATATCAAATAAATAACGATCTAACTATGCTCAGTTAATCTCCCAGCTAATTCATCATTTAGAAATATGTTATTTTTGCAGTTTTTCAAAAATTTGTTACCTGGTCCTTTTTACCCTATATAATAGACAAGGTAAAATGAGACGGCCACAAGGCAAACAGGTCTAATGTTTATCTTTAATTTTAAAGGAATTTTCCGAAATAATAGCATTATTCAACCAATGCAGAATATAAATGTACTTGTGAACATTTTTTCAGAAATGATACTGTATATAACCTTGATGTGGTATTTCATCAGCAGGGTTGGAATAATAAATATTTATTTATCTTATCTCTTGTAAAATTGCTTTTTTAACTTAATTTACTCTTTCATTTACTATTTTGTATTGTTTACATTTTTGTCAGAGTAAAAGTTCAGTTGGTCCTTTTTACCCTAACCTCGTGTTAGTTTTCATAAAGGCTATATAAAAAAACTGTTGTTGAATCTAACTTATAATTAACATTACATAACAACATAACACGTATACTTAAAAATTATATTAAGGTCTCGTAAACTAAACAACAGTGCTCACAACCACAAAAAATAACAACGAAAGAAAATACTTTTGTTATGGATTTTCAAACACTGTCGTTTTTGTCGTAAGCATTAAGACGGTTATCTTTTTCCTCTACTTACAAATATTGTTTTAAAAAATTCCTTAACTTTACTGGTTTTTGAGATATCGGTTTTGGACCCTTTTATCAGCGAACCTTTAGGACCCGACCTACCCTATTATTGAAATATTGTTTTACGTAAAAACTGACTAAAATATTTTCAAATAGATTATTATAAATATGTACTGTAAGTTTTAACCATCATAGTATATGAGTAAAATATAAAAGCTTCAATTAAAATCTAGGCGTCGGCCTTTAAATATTTTCCAGAGAAATATATATAAACAAAATCTAATTAAGCCGAATTAGAATAAAAGGCCTTATATCATATTTTACCCGGCATCAGAGGACTAGAGGATTAAATATGTTTAAAAATTCTATAAACTGAATTGCAAAGTTAAAATTGTATATTTCAAGTATATGAGTGAGTTTCAGAATTTCCAATATTTAAAACTTTGTATATTTTTAAATAATAAAATCTATCTATCTAGAGTATAATTTTCGATAATACGAAAAAAAACTCCTGACTAATCATTTCTTCAAACCCTAAACACAAGCAAAATATATTTGAATCATTCTAATCGGATGCTCCGTTCTCTACTAAGCTGCTACTTTTGGCACTTTTTCCCCGGGATCTCCAAATCAGCTGGGCCTGCCTTTGTGAACAACAGCATGTCATCATGATTTGAATGTTTTCTGAATCATTCTAATCGGTTGATCCGCACTATCAAAATCGTTGAAAAAAAAAATTGTATCCGAACATACATACACACAAACATCCATTTTTCCTAAGATATACCAAAATGATCAGGAGGTCTTGAAACGCAAAGATATGCAAAAATTTTCATTTATGATTATGATTATGCGATTATTATAACTTAACCTATGGCAAGTTAAATATTATACATATAATAAAAAAATTAAATATATATATATATATATATAATAATAAGAATTATTCCTGTTAAGTGTTATGTAAAACTAGCCCTACAAAAATGGTGTAACTATAAAAAATCATTAGAGTTGGGAATAATGAGAAGCTGTACTGATCACCGTTGACTTCCACTATTTTATAATACGAACTGTGTTATGTAAATTAAATTCAATTAATACAACTACCTATTGAGTTCATATAAAAGACATTGGAATTTGCATGTATTAGTTTTGTTTGAAAACGAAAATTTTATTTTAGAAATGGATAATTAAAAACTCCATTATTGATTAAGTTGATAATTTACACATATCGGGAAGATTATGCAAATTGCTTGAGGCTACGTACACCTAGTTGCTTCTCGTATGCTAGGTAAAAAATAATCAATAATTTGATGCGATTTTC